GTTTAGGGCACGCTTCAATTAGCATACTTATGCTCGCATATTTGTATCCATTTATCTGTCTTGCATGCACCGGGCTCGGCGCATCATATTAACTGCATTGTATTTCAATTCCGAGTTGAATACGTGTATCAGTTGTTGCATTTCATATGCCATTTTAGAATAGCCGAGCCTATCTTAATTGTATTTTTGCATGTGTTGCATTAGGCATTTCAGCATAGTTAGGATTCATGCATGATTTCTAATTAGCTTCTTTCTTTGGCTTGGAGTACTCGGTAAGTCTTTATGCTTTTGTATCCTTGCATGCGTGTGAGTGACTGCCATGATAGCATGCTTACCATGAGACTATTTGCTTATGTGATATAACTGCCTGAATGCTTGTGAGTGAAGGTTGGGTTATTTGAATTGGAACAATTCACCAATTGAGAGTTTTAAGCCCACTTGATGGTGTCAAATCTACGTCTTAGCCTACTTGCGAGTAGCACCATCAAACCATCTTTCAAATAAACAAACATGAAATGTTTTGTTCCAACTCAAACGATCCAGTTTATACTTGTATGCTGTGCGCATCACATAGTAATTCTAGGCTAGTAAACCAGAATAAGAGCACATGTGTTTTCAAAAACTCGATATCATGTTTAGTAGTGGCCGATCTTTGATTGGGCGAGCGAGGGTGCTCATTGCATGACCTTTCCCAATCGTACCCAAGTTCCCGAGCCGAGGCAACTTTGGTAATGACGGACACGTGGCCTTAGGCATGAGTCAGGGTTTCCTAAATTCCTTCCAAAATAAAATATTTAGGTGGTGACTCTGTATCTGGCAAAGCAGTCCATGTTTGGCACTTCTTTCTAAAAAATCAGTTTTTCAAAACGATTTGCCGGATTTGGACTCTTTGGTGATTTATCAGTCTTGCATTGCACTTTGCGAGATCAGATTAAGAACTGTGACATTTGAGTCTGAACTGTAGTGAGCCCAATGAAAAAAACGGGATTTCTCCCGGGACGTTTGGGGACGTCTACAGCAGACCCTCATCCTTGGCCGGCAGATTGCATCCTTGGTCGGCAGGGGGGTCGGCACTAGCTCCTCATAGCTGGCAGGCCATTGGTGCACTCCTCAACACTGTTTTGGTAAGATCCAACAACTAGTTCTCAAGGACACCCGGCAGACAGAGCCTCTTGAGAGCAACCAGAGAGCTTTTCAGGGCGAAAACCGAGCATGCATCTTCTACTTCTTCGAGCTAAGCTGGAGCAGCTTAGTTTATTGCTTTTCTTATTAGTTAGCATGAATTTGTAATTAATTAATTGATTTGTTAATTAATTAAGTGTTGTAATAATTAGTAAGTAGATTGCTTATTATTCAATTTGATTGTGTAATAGTTAATTAGCTTGTTAGTTAGTTAATTAGTTGGTTTGTATTGTTTATTCGGACCCTCCGTCGAGAGGGCGAGTTTTGTAATAAGTGTGCGTGAGTGTGTGAATGTCTTCCAACCCCACGTCTTTCTCCCTTTTACTTATTTACTTTCGATGGTTAGTTTTAGGGCATATTTTGTTTAGCATCCTTATGCTTCGCATGCGCGTATTCATTCATCTGTATTGCATCCACCGGGCTCGGCGCATCATACTAACTGCATTGTATTTCAATACCAAGTTGAATACATGTATCAATTGTTACATTTCACATGCCATTTTAGAATAGCCGAGCCTATTTCTAGTTGCATTTTGCATGTGTTGCATTAGCCATCTTAATATAGCTAGGTTCATGCATTGATTACTAACTAGCTATTATTTTGCCTCAAAGTACACTGTGAGTGTTTATGCTTTAGCATCTTGTATGAGTGTGATTGTTGCCATGATAACATACTTGCCATGAGGCTATGTGCTTAAGTGTTTAACTGCCTGAATGCCTATGGGTGAAAGTTGGATTGCTTGAATTAGAACAATTCATCAAATCATCGATTTAGCCTACTTGCGAGTAGCAAACTTCAAATCGTTTTCAAACAAACAAATATGCAATGTTTCGTTCCAACTTAGGCGATCTAGTCTATACTTGTATGCTGTGTGCATCACGTAGTAAGATTAGCTAATTAACCGGAATAAAAACACATGTGTTTTCAAAAACAAGATATCATGTTAGTAAAGGCCGATCTTTGATCGGGCGAGCGGGAGTGCTCATTGCATGACCTTCCCCTCTCGTACCCAAGTTCTCGAGCCGAGACAACTTTGATGATGATGGACATGTGGCCTTAGGCACGAGTCAGGGTTTCCTAAATTTCCCAATAAAATATTTAGGTGGCGACTCTGTATCTGGCAAAGCAGCCCATGTTTGGCACTTTTTTTACAAAAATTAGTTTTCCAAAACAATTTGCCGGATTTGGACTCTTTGGTGATTTATTGGTCTTGCATTGCACTTTGCGAGATCAGATTCAGAACCGTGACATTGAGATTGAACTGTAATAGTAAGCCCAATGAACAAAACGGGATTTCGCGCCCATATTCGCCCGCGGAGCTCCGGGACGTTCGAGCGCGTCTACAGATGAATACCCTCATATGGTTGGATTAGCATTCTCATAATAGGGGTGGGATTGGTAATCCAATCTCATGGGATTAGGTGTGAAAAGACAATTTTGTCCTTATATTACAAAAACAACAAAGCTAATAATTATACAATGAGAGTGTTTATGCAATTTTATAGATTTAATCCTAATAAATTAATATCACCACACGAGTACACAAACAAACACGCCTTAAATTAATACTACCACATTAATAATCTCCTCATTTAATCTTACTGTACTCATAATCCCGTTCAACCTAATCTACCTAACAAACAAGGCCTAGTTTTTTTCAACTTTAGCTTTTATCATTAAAACTAAGGTCAAATATAAACATGTTTAGGCCATGCTTTTTTGACTCTGTGGGAGGATGATTGGATTAATAGTTCGTGGAATTCACTTAAAGAGTATTTGGTTAGAGATATGAGCCATTAGTAAGACTACCAATCCCATGGAGGGATTGAGATTAGAAATGGAGTGAGAGGTTTAATGAATTTTTAAATGATTTTTAAGCAAAATTTATATTTTTTAGAACCAATTTTTTTTTGGGGGATGCACCAATAAATCCCAAATTAATAACTTATATACTGTTTAGTCCTAAAAGTTTTCTTATAGACTGAAAGGTCCCATTACAATGTTTCAAACATCAGATTAATGTTTCGAACGTTAGATTTCGAACATTAGATTAATGTTTCAAACATTAGATTGATGTGCAAATGGGACTAAATGGAGCATAAGAAAACTTTTAGGACTAAATGGTTCAACTTTTCAGAAACTAGGACTTATGGGTAAATTTTTCTTTTTTTTTAATAATATTAAAAAATACTAGAAATAAAAAATATTAATTTTATATATTAATACTATCTATAGTATTACTAATTCGGTAGTGTACAAATAAATATTATTTATCCTACATCTCCTACCTAATACCAACACACCAGTAATCTTCTCAAATAATCCCATTGTACTATTAATCCATTTAATCTTATGGAACCAAACAAACGTGGCCTTAATATTTTTGTTTTCCCTTATCTAAAATGTTGTTATTATAAAATTGTTCCAAGTTTTTTTTCCACATTATTTGAGGCCAATTAAGTTATTTGGATAAATTACACTGATAGTTTCTATATTTTTGCCCTTCATTTTGAGTTTTGTAATTTTAATTGACACAATTTTTTATGATTTTGTCTCAATTTATTCTAATTGATTACAATTGTTAGTATTTTTGATGAAAATGTGCATATAAACATATGTATTATGCTTTTGTAGGCAAAATTATAAATTTGTTCAACTCAATGAGTTAATCTTAACCAACTCAATGACCAATTTCATTCAAAAATCCTAATCGGCATTATCAATTTGATTAAATTGACACAAAATATAAAATTAAAGGTCAAAATTGAGTTAATAAAAATTATAGGTCAAAATTGAGCTAATAAAAATTATAGGAATTAAAATGATACAAGAAGTAAAATATAGGGACTTCCAATGTTCATTAAATATAACATCATATCTCTATATAAATAGTTCATCTCCTCATTTTATTTACACTCCCGAAGATGATAAGGTAGAAAAGAATAATTACACAACAAAAAAATTATTGGGACAATTAAAAAAAAAAAAATCTTATGGTTTGACCCTTGTAACAAAATAAATCTTGAATTTTCAATTTTATTAATTTAAACCCTAATGTTTTGATTTGTTTTCAATTTATACCATTTACCTATTTTCATTAACTAAACCAGACAAAAAAATAAAAATAAAAATAAATTTAGGTATTAAACTAAACGAAATGTCTAAAATTCCTATTTTCATTAAGTTTAATAATTAAAATATCATTTTTTGTATCAATTTTACTTAACAAAATTAGGTAAATGATTTAGATTGAAAAAAAAAATAAATAAAAAGTTTAAGGTTTAAATTAAGGAAAATGTTTGGGACCCTTAGAAAAGAGGACCCCCATGACCCCCACTAATGTATTGAGATGTGTTTGAATTTTTTTTGAGAGTTGTGTCTGACAATGACATGAATGTTTTAGATCATTTTGGGGGTTGTGTTTTGTGAGGGTCTCTATCATTACTATTAAATTAAAAATTTAGGATTTATTTTATTATATGGGTCAAAATCTTGTTTTTTTATTTTTATTTTATTTTTATAATTTTCTCAAAAATATTTTTATGACTTATTTAACAAATAAGTATTTTGCAATTTAAATTTATAATCGAACCATTGCACGTATGATATCAACAAAAAAAAATAAAAAATTCTATTTCCTCCCCCCCCCCTCTTTTTTTTTCACGAATCATTCATAAAATCATGATTTTAAATACAAGATAAGTGGTTGATGCGTTAAGATTAAGTGTGGAATTTAATTCGAAATTGTCATCATTTATTATGACTCGCTACATACTGGGGAAGATGTAAATAAGGACATAAAATTAATACTCCAATATAAATTTCACACATATTTATATATATATTATACATATTTCAATACAGATTTTTTTACACACATGCCAAGCATATCCATTACCTAGCATTTCCCTTACTTATTCATAAACATATAAGAAAAAGAGAGGCCATCCATGCACCATGGTCCTTCTCTTCTTAGTGTTTATTTATTTATACACACAATCTCCATTTATCGAAGAGAAATGCCTTCATCAAACCAAAAGGTCACTCCAAACAGCATATCATGCATGGCCTCTTGACGATTTCCATCGGTTGTAGACTCCATGAAATAGTTTCACAAGAAGCGAAATCACAAATCCACAAAATATGAATGCCAGAGCTGATAACCAAACAAGAGGAGTGCTTGAAATTTCCGAGGAACCCAATAATATGACTGAGAAACTTGGCATGATCTTATCCACCACAAGAAGATAAGCAATGAACATTGTAACCATGACAAAGCTCACAACTGAGCTGTGAGGAAGTGGCCTTACCAGAACCAGAATAGCACACATGCTTGCAAGAAACCCAGCAATGTTGAACATCATGTAGTAGAATATGCCCCTGTATTGGTTGTTAGATTTAGAACCCAATACCAACGAGGATAAGGTGAGGCGAGGAGGAGGATGTTTGACATCCGTGACAGCTTGTAGATTGAAATAATTGGGTGGGTTGGAAGAAGCGAAGGCAAAAGTGGCAGCCATGATGAGAACAGTTAATAAGGAGTTTCTGATCTTAACTGGCAATAGTTTTTGGGGCGGTTGTGATTCAGCAGTAGATGGTGGTGATGGTTGTGGAGGTGGTGGTTGTGCTGCCGCTGTGAGGTGGTTCAAGTAACGTCCCTCGACAGCACCAGCATCCTGAAGGACTATGCGGATCTCTCGTGCAAGCATGTCATTGGCGGTGGTTTCGTAGTGGAGATCTAAGGGTGTGTGTCCTCTGCCATTAATGGAGTTTACATCCAACATTACTGTCCCATTTGTAGAGTTGAGGTTGAGTGAGAGCAATAGCTCCAGAATCTGTGACACAGAGAACTTATAACTGCTGTCAAAAAATATTTTGAAGGCATAATTATAGAGAAAGATAGAAGAAATTAGCTGTAAGAGTTATGAGCAGTAGCTCCATTATCCTCTTTTGTCCCTCTCCATGCTCTTTTCCCCACCTCCTCCTCCTTTCCTGCTCTTCAGTGGGGGTTAGGGAGGCAAGTCGCGGTGGTGGAGAGCTGGGGATTTGCGATATGAAGGGTTTTAGAGGGGCGGTGGCGGTGGCTAGGGTTTTGTAGCAACGGGGGCAATAACTGACGGGTGGTGCGGCTGGGAGGAAGGGTTTATACCTGTTGTTTTTAATAGGAATTTGCCTGATGAACATAATTGTAATTAGATTTTTATTTTTATATGATGTGAACTAAGAAGAAATGGGTAAACCCCTAATTTGAAATGTTTTATTCCAATTGAATTTTTTCTCTAATTTCTTAATTGATGTTAATTAAACAAAATTTGAACAATTAAATGATAAAATTAAACAACTAGAACTATAAGAATCAAATTAATTCAATAAACAAATTACGAAAATCAAAGGTCTAATTTGTCATGTATTTGTTTACATGAAATCAATTGCTCATATATAGATATTTCACAGGAACATCTTTTGCAATTGTGTTGATCAACTGAGGGGGTAATGAACTTGGCTTAATAGTTTTCAGCCAGGAATGTGGATTGATTGGCATCTCAAACTATAAATTATTATTATTTTTATAACTTAGCAAAGTAATAGTAACATTTTATTACTCATAATAAACATTACAATGTATAACCAGCATATTCGTCATTACCCTATTGCATAATTTTGCCTTTTGATGAGGCAGCCTAAGCCTCATTATTAGGCCGGGCTGGACCTGTATGTGAAAATGGATTCCAAACCCGTTTGTAGCCTAATTTTAATATATTTTTTTTACAAGCCAATGATGAGGCTTAAGGCAGTGTCCTTATTAGCTTGGCTGTATTTGACAACTTTTGATAAAAGATTCATAAGAGTTAAAACCATAACTTTAAATTTTATATATAACTTTTGTGTATTTATTGATGCGATGTGTTTAAAAATGAGAAAATAAGGTAAGAAATAAAATTATGTATATGATTTCTCTAATTGTAAAGAATTTTAGCATGATCATCATAACAAAAACAAAAAGGAAAAAATTTAATTAGAGTAATTAAGAATCTTAACCCATGATTAATTGACTCTCTTTCTCTGCGAAATTCAACTCTATGCCCAAAGGTGTTCTATAAAGCCACACAATCTTATAATATTGAACTCTTACCCACATGACATGTCCATCTCTATGCACAAACACAGAGAGAGAGAGAAAGAGAGAGAGAGAGAGAGAAGAGAGAAGAGAGCATGCCTGGATCAGTTTACGGGAGGTGACAATATGCAGAACAGTGTTGCCTTCAATGTCCTTCCAGTTAAGGAGCTCCTCTTGCTTCCATTTTTGAATCTCTTCCAAAAGGACTATGAAAGCACCAGTTTGGTGATTCTTGAGGGCAAGGTGAAGAGCAGTCTCTCCGCGGCAGGTCAGCTTTCGAAGAGACTCCGGACATGCATGGACTAATGCCCTAACAGCATCCCCTTTCCCCTTCATTGCTGCCACATGGAGAGGAACCCGATCTTCAATGTCCTCCACAAGGCAGAGTTTAGAATCGAAATCCACCAACACTTGAACTATCTCAACGTGCCCATTAGCCGAAGCCACATGCATAGGACTAAAACCATCACTGTTTCTTCTTCTTCTAGCTAACCCTGGATTTAAATTCAGAACCTCTATCACAAATCGAACGCTGCCATGCTTACAGGAGACGTGTAGAGGGTTTTCATTCTCTCCCCATAACGATGGACCGTGCAACAAGAGTGAGTTTTGTTCATGTAATATATATAGTTCCCTGGTGTCATCTTTTTCAGCAGCCCTCAACAACCTCAGATAAAGTGTTACATATTCCTCAGGAAAACTCATCTGCTAATTAAATTGAAACTTTGATTGCTTGCGTTGCTTGATACTCAGGTTGGGTCTGAAACTACCTTGAGGAAGATGATGAATGGGACCAAACCTCTTCTTCTTGAGGGATGCATCTCTCTCTCTCTCTCTCTCTCTAATTGTGACCGTCTTCAGCTGCTGCTGCTGCCATGTAGTAGAATTCTTCGTTTGCCTTCTTCTTCAAAGCCTTTCAATTGAACTTCTAAGTTTAAGAGAGTTAAATGTTTGTTTTTTGAGTTATTAAATATGCTTGGCAGGAAAAGTCTATTCCTACAAACTTTTTTTTAGAGAATTTATTTATAGGATATGAATAATGTGGTAATTTCAAAGTTATATAAGGCCTTTTGTTTTCTTTAAATAATAAAATCAACTAATCATGTCATTTTGTGTTATTTTATATATATATTTTCACATTGTTTGTTGGACCAGATTCCATTGCTGCAGTTTCCTTCTTATTTATTTATTTATTTAGTTTTCCACCGCTCTGGGATTTGGATATATGTAGACTTTTGCCACTTTCTTTATGTGTTTTTGTTTATATTTAAAACTGGATTAGAAGATCGAGTTGGCTCTGCGTTGCTTCTTCTCCAAATAAGCAAACCAGTCAAACAAACCAAGATTTGAAGACATCTCTTAAAAGCTTTTATTTGATACGAAGGTTTAATATTTCGACACTAAACATTCACCCAATTAATGAGCAAAACTTAGTCAATAAGATTAGGAAAAATTACAAAAATAAATTCAAAGTTTCGTAACAAAATAAATTTTGAATTTTATGAATTTAAATTCTAAATTTTTAATTTATTTTTAATCTAATCCAACATAATTTTGTTAAATAAAGGTGAAACATTTTTTCCATTAGTTTTATTTATGAAAATAGACAAATGATTTAAATTGAAAATAAATAAAAAAATTAGAGTTTAAATTTACAAAATCAAAAATTCATTATTTATTTTGTTATAAGGTTCAACCCCCCCCCCCCTTCCTTTTTTTTTTTTTAAAAAAAAAATTTTCCCATCAAAATAAAATTTAGACTAAAATAGTAGCTTTATTTCTTACACCTTCATTGGTTTTATTAAGGGTAAATTACACTTTGTACTCTAACAGTTTATACCAAATTTCATTTTAGTCCCTCATTTCTCAATTATAACAGTCAACTTCTTAACTTTTGGATCAAATTACAATGTGGTTCTTCTGTTAGTTTGGTGTTAAATTTATTAACAAAAATTGCCATTTAACCACAAACTAGATATTTTTTGGACAAAAATACAATTTTCTTCTTCTCTATTTCTTCACCCTATTTTCTTTCTCTGTTTTCTCTCTAATATATTTTCTATACCCACCATACTACCCACCTCTTCCAGCCACCCCATCGTTTTCTTTTTACCCTTACCCCTTCCCACCATCCATGGCCACTATTCACCCATGTCTCACCACTTTATCCTTTTCCCACCAACTCCTTACATTTTAACACCACCCACACCGCTTCCCACCATTCACAACCTGACCCTTTCCACCACCCATGGCCAACCGCACCCCTCAATTGGGTTTTTTTTTTTTTTTTTTGGATGAATAAGTCATAAGATAAAATAAGAAAATTTATGAGATTCTGAGGGGTATACCCCACGCCCTACCAAAGTTATACAGAAAAAACCAACTAAAACAAAACAGTTATAAATATACTATACTAACGGAAATTAGAAAACAAAATAAAGAGGTTGGACCATACAACTTGTTCAATGTCCATATTTAAACCCAAAATAGGGAGAATTGGTTTCGGTAAAACATCACGGCATAAAAACCATTTACTCCACAATGCTATGGGCCACGAACATTACCACCTCCCTTTCACTGCAAACCCACTCTATTAGCCAATTCAATTGTAAATTAATGAAAATATCACATTGCAACTTAATTAAAAAAGCAAGGGTTACAATTAAAAATGAGAGAGTAGAGTAAGATTCAATATAAAATGCAAGGGTAAAAAATTTAATTTACCCTTTAGTAAGGCAAATTATACAAGTCATCTTATTTTATTTCTTTTGTCAATTTGGTTGTTATAATTTCAATTGCATTAATTTTGCTCTTTAATTTTTCATGTTGTATCAATGTAGTCTAATTGATAATATTGCTTAAGAAATAAGACATAAATAAAATGCAAAATGATCCATTCAAAAGAAAAGAAATCATTTAAATTAAACATCAAACCGTAAATCATTTTTAAGTGAGTGAATTGATTATTTTGGTTATTGAGTTCAATTCAATTTTTAAAATGAATTGATACAATTTAAAAAATTTAAGAATAAAATTGATGCAATTAGAACTATAATAACCACATTAATACATAGGAATGTAATTTGTCCAAAGAGTAGAGAGGCAGTTCCAAACAATCTAGACTTCTCAATTTCAAGGAAAGTACATCATTTTTGTATATTGGAATAACAAATATGAAAATTATTGGCTATTTGGTATCATTTTTTCATTTATAAATTATTTTTAATGATTATGACCTTTTAGATTATTAGTTTAAAAGAATTAAAATAAGTTGTAAGTCTATTTGGTATAGCTTTTCATAATACATGAAGAAAGTTAAACTTATTTAGTTAAATAAATTGTCACATAAACTTTTTTTTTTTGTTCAAAATTATAATTAAAACTAAAGAGGTAAGACTATTTTGTTCACATATAAAGGCTGCTTGAAGGTCTGCGTTGGTATGTGAGTTGATTACGGCAGAAACTTTGGTCTCCAACCTCCTATTTTTATGTTCGTTTTCAATTGGCTTCTCGCCAATCTTGGGTTAAGTGCTTGCATATGATTGTGCTTCCTTTATGGTGCCAACTTAGTTGGGATTGTGAAGGTTAGCTATGATGCTTGTGCACTTCCCTGATTTATTGATGTATCTTTGCTTGTAATTTGCTTCTTTCATCAATAAATTTTTTCTTTTGCTGATCAAAAAAAAAGTTTCCAAAAGTTCGAAAAGTTTACTTCCATTTTTTTTAGAACGAGAAAAGTTTAACTCTATTACTCGTTAATAAATTATTATTGAACAATGCTATATGCAATTATTTCCTCGAAGATTGGAACTCATCAATAAGTGTGCACTTCACGAGTCATTGCTGATATATAATCCTTTAAATTTGATAATGTTAAAATTATCTGCTAGTGTAAATTACACCTTTTTTATATGTGTTTATTTTTTCACTTTAGTTAGTGAAGGATTTTTTATTTTAACTTTAATCTTTGTGTGCAAGTTTATTTATTTAATTTACTCATAAAATTAATTTGTATTCAAAATTAAACAGAAAATACCATGTTTAACTGTTATTTGGCTTAAAAAATATATTATTATACTAAATTTTGAGTTTGTGTTAGAATTGTGAGTTATATATATGAAATATTTGTATGTCACATGTGGGTGTTGATTTTTGACCTTATAACCAAACAAATCTCACTATCGAGATCTTGGGAATTTAGCTAGAGAGCACACGGAAGAATCGATCAAGCCAAACACCTGCATACAAGAAGACAAGAAATACCACGGTGACTCGTCCACCTGGGGACACTTCGACGATGAAGTCAATCAACTTATCTTACAAAGATATCGGCACAAGTAGAACAACTCTCAATTAAAGCATGCCTTAGACCTATGAGGGTGTCTTACTTTTATAGTCAGCAGTGTCCTCGTCTCCTAAAAGGATATCACTTATCCAAGATTCCACTTATTTAGATTTGGATCAACTCTCTTAAGAGTCCAACCTTACCCTAATAAGTAGTCTAACATCATTTAGTACTCTTGTCCTCTATCCGAATATCTTGGATTCCGATATAATCGCATCATAACATGGTTCATCCACGTAGTACCATGGCCAACAACCTCGACCATGTGGACAAACTGCCCCCTAGGATCTATTACTTTAGCAACCTGAGGTGATGAAACTTATATCGTCTGACCTCCCAACATATCTACTAAATATGCTGGAAGATGCTCTTCAATCGAGATCATGACTCGTCTGCGTCAAGAAGCAAGGACTTGTATGTGTCCACTCGTCAAAAACCAAGAAATAAAATGTTCTTTCTCATCCAAGATCAACATCTCAACCGAGCTCGCACTACTAGTCGAGATCGTGACTCGCTAGTTCAAGAACATCAAGATTCAAAATCTGTTACCTCAAAACAAACCAAACAATCATATCAACATCATGACATGTCACCTCCTCATTGGTTATATTATCTCCGACTTGATCTCCTTATTCGATATTGGCCATTTATTTTTCCTAAGTTTCCACAGACGGTATCAAATTGTGAGTGTTGATTTTTGATCTCACGACCAAATAGATCTCATTGCCGAGATCTAAGGAACTTAGTTGAAGAGCACACGAAAGAATAGATTTAGCCAAACACTTGCACACAAGAAAACAAGAAATACCACGGTGACTCGTCCACCCAAGGGCACTCTGATGATCAAGTCAGTCAACTTATCTTACAAAGATATCAGCAAAAGTAGAACAACTTTCAATTAAAGCGTACCTTAGACCTACGGGGATGCCTTACTTTTATAGTCAGCAATGCCTCTGTCTCCTAGAAGGATATCACTTCATAGGACTCTCATCCTTTACAAGTATATCACTCATCAAAGACTCTACTTATTTAGATTTGGATCAACTCTCTTAAGAGTCCAACCTTACCCAAATAAGTAGTCTAAAATCATCTAGGACTCTTGTCTTCTATTTGAATATCTCGGATTATAATCGCATAATATCTCGGTAACATGGTCCATCCACGTGTGACACATCGGCCAACAACCTCGGCCACGTGGACAACCTTAAAAATATGTCCCCACACTACATGACTGTCAATGTGTTATTTGCTATTTAATTTTGGATATAAGTTAGTTTTTGAAGTAAATTTAGAAAAATTTTAAAAATAAAGGGTCAAATTGACAAAAAAAATCAAAATAAAGTGTAATTTACCCTGATTTGCTATCATATTGTCTGTTATGTCATTTATCAACATGCATTTGTAAGTAGTGAGACTAAGTTATTTTACATAACATTATTGATACATTTTTATGCCTAAGTTATTTTACATTACTTATTTTTGGTCAACAACTAATTCAAAATTCTTGCTTACCTGAGTACCCCTACGAACCAACTGTGAGTGAGATGTTCTTCAACCTCCATGTCATTTTTTTTTAATCAAAAAAGAAAATTTGAATTAAGATAAGAACAATAATTCAAGGATTCTAGCAAAAGTAGGGGAAGCAATCCAAATTCTTACAATGAATCTGATATACATTTTTTA